GTTAGGAAAGTGGGTAAATGGGAGGTTTCATACAAGGGCACATGTTAGGGAAGGGGGTAAACGGGAGGTGTCATGCAAGGGCACATGTTAGAGAAGGGTGTAAATGGGAGGTGTCATACAAGGGCACATGTAAGAGAAGGGGGTAAATGGGAGGTGCAAACAATGGCACATGTTAGAGAAGGGGGTAAATGGGAGGTGTCATACAAGGGCACATGTTAGAGAAGGGGGTAAATGGGAGGTGTCATACAAGGGCACATGTTAGGGAAGAGGGTAAATGGGAGGTGTCATACAAGAGCACATGTTAGAGAAGGGGGTAAATGGGAGGTGCCATACAAGGGCACATGTTAGAGAAGGAGGGTAAATGGGAGGTGCCATACAAGGGCACATGTTAGAGAAGGTGGCAAATGGGAGGTGCCATACGAGGGCACATATTAGGGAAGGAGGTAAATGTGAGGTGTTATACAAGAGCACATGTTAGAGAAGGGGGTAAATGGGAGTTGTCATACAAGAGCACATGTTAGAAAATGGGGGTAAATGGGAGATGCCATACAAGGGCACATGTTAGAGAAGGGGATAAATTGGAGGTGCCATACAAGGGCACATATTTGGGAAGGGGGTAAATGTGAGGTGTCATACAAGAGCACATGTTAGTGAAGGGGGTATATGGGAGGTGTCATACAAGGGCATATGCTAGGGAAGGGGGTAAATGGGAGGTGTCATACAAGAGCACATGTTAGTGAAGGGGGTAAATGGTAGGTGTCATACAAGGGCACATGTTAGTGAAGGGGGTAAATGGGAGGTGTCATACAAGGGCACATGTTAGGGAAGGGGGTAAATGGGAGGTGTCATACAAGAGCACATGTTAGAGAAGGGGGTAAATGGGTGGTGTCATACAAGAGCACATGTTAGAAAAGGGGGGTAAATGGGAGGTGCCATACAAGGGCAGATGTTAGAGAAGGGGGTAAATGGGAGGTGCCATACAAGGGCACATGTTAGAGAAGGTGGCAAATGGGAGGTGCCATACGAGGGCACATATTAGGGAAGGAGGTAAATGTGAGGTGTCATACAAGAGCACATGTTAGTGAAGGGGGTAAATGGGAGGTGCCATACAAGGGCACATGTTAGAGAAGGGGGTAAATGGGAGGTGCCTTACAAAGGCACACATTTGGGAAGGGGGTAAATGTGAGGTGTCATACAAGAGCACATGTTAGTGAAGGGGGTAAATGGGAGGTGTCATACAAGGGCATATGCTAGGGAAGGGGGTAAATGGGAGGTGTCATAAAAGAGCACATGTTAGAGAAGGGGGTTAATGGAAGGTGTCATACAAGGGCATATGCTAGGGAAGGGGGTAAATGGGAGGTGTCATACAAGGGCACATGTTAGGGAAGGGGGTAAATGGGAGGTGTCATACAAGGGCATATGCTAGGGAAGGGGGTAAATGGGAGGTGTCATAAAAGAGCACATGTTAGAGAAGGGGGTTAATGGAAGGTGTCATACAAGGGCATATGCTAGGGAAGGGGGTAAATGGGAGGTGTCATACAAGGGCACATGTTAGGGAAGGGGGTAAATGGGAGGTGTCATACAAGGGCATATGCTAGGGAAGGGGGTAAATAGGAGGTGTCATACAAGGGCACATGTTAGAGAAGGGGTAAATGGGAGGTGCCATACAAGGGCACATGTTAAGAAATGGGTAAATGGGAGGTGTCATACAAGGGCACATGTTAGAGAAGGGGGTAAATGGGAGGTGTCATACAAGAGCACATGTTAGAGTTGGGGGTAAATGGGAGGTGTCATTCAAGAACAGGTATGGAAGGTGTAACTATGTCCATCAGAAAGGCTAACGTGGTAGTGACGGTGGAAATCGGTAGATGTGACAGAGACACGTGGTAGAGACGGGAGTAAGTGGAAGATGTAACAGAAACACGTGGTAGAGACGGGGTAAGTGGTAGATGTGACAGTGACACGTGGTAGAGACGGGGGTAAGTGGTAGATTAGACAGAGACACGTGGTAGAGAAGGTAAATAGTAGGTATGACAGAGACACGTGGTCGAGAAGGGTAAGTGGTAGATGTGACAGAGACACGTGGTAGAGAAGGTAAATGGTAGGTGAGAGAGATACGTGGTCGAGAAGGTAAATGGAAGGCGAGACAGAGACACGTGGTAGAGACGGGAGTAAGTGGAAGATGTGACAGAGACACGTGGTAGAGACGAGGGTAAGTGGTAGATGTGACAAAGACACGTGGTAGAGACGGGGGTAAGTGGTAGATGTGACAGAGACACGTGGTAGAGACGGGGGTAAGTGGTAGGTGAGACAGAGACACGTGGTAGAGAAGGTAAATAGTAGGTATGACAGAAACACGTGGTAGAGAAGGGTAAGTGGTAGATGTGACAGAGACACGTGGCAGAGAAGGTAAATGATAGATGGGAGAGAGATACTTAGTAGAGAAGGGTAAGTGGAAGGCGAGACAGAGACACGTGGTAGAGACGGGGGTAAGTGGTAGATGTGACAGAGACACGTGGTAGAGACGGGGGTAAGTGGTAGATGTGACATAGACATGTGGTAAACAAGGTTAAATGGTAAATGTGACAGAGACACGTGGTAGAGAAGGGTAAATGGTAGATTTGACAGAGACACGTGATAGAGAAGGGTAAGTGGTAGATGTGACAGAGACACGTGGTAGAGAAGGGTAAATGGTAGATGTGACAGAGACACGTGGTAGAGAAGGGTAAGTGGTAGATGTGACAGAGACACGTGGTAGAGAAGGTTAAATGGTAAATGTGACAGAGACACGTGGTAGAGAATGGTAAGTGGTAGATGTGACAGAGACACGTGGTAGAGACGGGGTAAGTGGTAGATGTGACAGAGACACGTGGTAGAGACGGGGTAAGTGGTAGATGTGACAGAGACACGTGGTAGAGAAGGGTAAATGGTAAATGTGACAGAGACACGTGGTAGAGAAGGGTAAGTGGTAGATGTGACAGAGACACGTGGTAGAGAAGGGTAAATGGTAAATGTGACAGAGACACGTGGTAGAGAATGGTAAGTGGTAGATGTGACAGAGACACGTGGTAGAGACGGGGTAAGTGGTAGATGTGACAGAGACACGTGGTAGAGACGGGGTAAGTGGTAGATGCGACAGAGACACGTGGTAGAGAAGGTTAAATGGTAAATGTGACAGAGACACGTGGTAGAGAAGGGTAAGTGGTAGATGTGACAGAGACACGTGGTAGAGAAGGGGAAATGGTAAATGTGACAGAGACACGTGGTAGAGAAGGGTAAGTGGTAGATGTGACAGAGACACGTGGTAGAGAAGGGTAAATGGTAGATGTGACAGAGACACGTGGTAGAGAAGGGTAAGTGGTAGATGTGACAGAGACACGTGGTAGAGAAGGGGAAATGGTAGATGTGACAGAGACACGTGGTAGTGACGGGGTAAGTGGTAGATGTGACAGAGACACGTGGTAGAGACGGGGTAAGTGGTAGATGTGACAGAGACACGTGGTAGAGAAGGTTAAATGGTAAATGTGACAGAGACACGTGGTAGAGAAGGGGGAAATTGTTGATATCCTACAGGGACACACGGTCTTGAAAATACCACTAATTATGTTATATGTCAGTCTGACAGGAATTTATTGGATATTGACACTTAGCAGGATACAAATGCTTGTCGACTGTAGACTGTTCAGTTCCTCTCAGATCACATACGAATAGTACTACGTTTGAACCACCTCTCCTCATTTATCACTGCTTCCTTCCTTCCGTTTATGTTCATCTCCGCGTGCTTCCTATTGATATGAACACGTGATCAAATTGATTACAGATATATTAATCACCATCAGCACGATTCGGTATTTATCCATATTTTTATGCTTAGTAAAATAACCAATCGATATTAAATTTAGCGAGTTTCTCTTTATTTATCATCCTGCTGGACTGTTACTATTATACAGTAAGTTAGCCTGATTTTCACCTGGCCCTAACACCAGACTTAAGATATTTTGACATATATATATAGTGTCTGGTGTGGGACCCCATATGTCAAAATGTCTAAGCTGCCCACGCATATATCGGAGATACACCACCACAGTGTTTATATCCCCGATACTCCAGAGGTTACGCCCACTTGGAGTATTGCGGATACAGTGAATAATGCATTGTACTCAATTAAACAATGAAGTTACAATACCAAATACGTTTATGTTTTACTACCGGTGTCATAACTTTTTATGACTAATTTTGGAATGTTATTGCCAATGGATCATATTTCATGTCCATATTTTCCCTGTGCACATTAAACATTTAACTCAGAAATATTATTTTAGGTTAAATACTCATTATCAAGTCAAGTCAAGTCAATTTTGTTTATTATAGTGTCATATATCACAATTACATCGTACAAGTATATAGTTAACAGTATAAAAACATATAGTTACATAACAGGGATCAATCATCCTAATGTAAAAATATATAGACCATATCATAATTTTGTTAAGAACAGCTATTATACATAATAAATTAATAAGTTAAAACAAACTATCACGTGTGCCAATCCAGAGAGCAGGTGATTGGGACAGCCCCTACCTAACAAACTCCTGGATTTTGTCCTTACATATTAAATACTATGATAGTTAAAAGGTTTCATTTACATTTACTGCCTTAAAACATGATGTCTTTAAAAAAACACCAATGATAAATAAAATGAATAATTTCCTAGTTCTACATTGCAGTGAAATTTAGGTTGCCAAGGGTTGGGGAGCCCCCTACCAGCGAGGTCTGCTAAATTCACACTAACTAGTAGTTTGGTTTACGTACTATAGCGTATACGATTTCCGCTCTATCATTATTTAATACGAATTTCCTATGTTAACTACAATCTTGTTTACACATGTTTAAAACTCGTTTCTATCAGCACTGTGGTTGGTGTAGTTTTCCACACAAACCGTTAATGATGCATATCAATTAATAATAGACATTTATTTTGTTATTCCGCGCATGCCTAGGATAGGACGCACGTGATTTGCTTCCGAAGGTGGGGTCATAGCGGAAGGGGATCGCAGGCGCAAGAAGCCTAGTCATATCAGCTGAGAGGGAATGGTAGAGGACTAAATGGTTGTAAGGTAGGTCCCCCTTTCTTTGTTATGTCGATGCTATATATGTGCCTATATATATGGAGAGTGTGTTCAATGTCGACTGTCTTGAAAGGAAATTCACCAGCTGATCGCTAACACGGTGTATTGGCATGACATACAAAGAAACACACATACACATACTGTAGAGGTTGGTGTGTGTGTGTGTTTGGCGAGTGCAGTCTGGGATATGTATTGATTTTTCCACGCTTTGATGTTATGTTAATTTTTTATCTTAATGTTGATATCCGGGTGTAACACATGGATATGATACTGTAGACGTTTTTTCCTGCTGTCATTGATTACAATACTGATTGTGATATTCATTCAAGGTTGTTATGTATCGACAGAAACATAAATTTGGAATATAAACCTATAGACTTTACAATTTTTTCACTTTACTCCCAAATACAAAGAAGCGGCTGAAAAGTAAGTTTGAAGTGATGTATTTTTCCATCTACCCATTTATATAAGCACAGCCTACCTACGTCAGAGAAATATATTTTTTGTACACACGATATAAGCTGATGAAATAACCACACATGTAAGAAATCGTCTGCTAGCTAGTTAGTAGATATGTGTGTGCCCCCTACGCGTACTTCGAAGCATTGTGTATGAAATGTACCGCCCGCATTAAGAGTGCATGGCGTATTGCCATACTATTTACAAGATTTATATGTGTATGTCCACAGTATTATATTTAGATTTTTAAAAGATGATTTCACTGTAAACAATTGCAAAGATTTCAAGATCGAAGTATAAATACACATGAATACACCCATTACACTTATATGATTAAGTCAATACTATCGTTCACGTTAACTTATGTGCATGTTTCTGTACAAATTTTAGTTTCTTACTTTTTAGAATTAAGTTTAATTTCAAATAGCTAAAGGTTCTATTCTATGAACCAGTTAACATGTTTAACTCATTCACACCTGAAGACATATTTAAGTTCTTCCAATTCAAAGGTTGGAATAGTTCATTATCAAATTTCAGGGATGTATGAGTTTAAAGGAGTGTAAATTAAGACAGTACTGCCTTCTGGATTGTAGCCTAGGTTACCACATTGGTCAGAATTGCCATGGTAGCACAGTGTGCGTAATACAATAAACGGACAGAGTCCCTATAATCACCTAAATGTGTCATCTGGTTTTAAAAGTAGACAAATTGTGTTTCCATACAAAGCGACATGTAAAATAACGTTAACAAACCTGAGGTGAAAGTTCATCCATTTGGCGTCTTATTTGCATGCCAGACATAAATTGGATACCTTACTTTCGTATACATATATTCAAGTTAAAGCAGGTGTGGATAAGGGTTGGTGTAATATTGTATAGACATTTTGCTTACAACTTAGGGTAAAGTGTTATATTTCGTAAAGCTAATCATCAAACACTTTTAAAAATAATATATTCACATCAATTAAGGACAAGTGTTTTCAATATTTCCGCTTCGTGTAACAACGGAATAAATGCCATTTTGGAAGATGTTATGAGTAAATGTATAATCCTAGTTTAAAAGAAAAAAAGTTCCAACTGTCGTATTTATTTTGCTTGGTAACAACCAACAAAAATAGACGTATGTACAAATGTCATAATACAAAGGCAATCAGGGCATGTCAAATGCACTCTCTATATACACATTTATCAGGTATCATGTCAGGATACTGTTATACATGTACAGTGTAAAACGAGTCAAAGGTGAAAATAATTATAAACTCAATTATATTTCATTTCATATGCTATTGTGTTGTTGAGAAACACATAAGAACATATTATTGTTGTTATTATAAGTTTGCACGATACGATTCTGACCAAGCAGAAAAAATGTTATTTTTTCAGTCAATTTATTTGTGTTTCTGATATTATTTCGACTGATTCATTTATATTGTTTTATATATGATATGTTACCTTTGTTATTTATGAGACTGTTACCTTTGTTGTTTATGAGACTGATATATTTGTTATTTATGAGACTGTTACCGTTGTTATTTATGAGACTGTTACCTTTGTTATTTATGAGACTGTTACCTTTGTTATTTATGAGACTGATATATTTGTTATTTATGAGACTGTTACCTTTGCTATTTATGAGACTGTTACCTTTGTTATTTATTAGACTGTTACCGTTGTTATTTATGAGACTGTTACCTTTGCTATTTATGAGACTGTTACCTTTGTTATTTATGAGACTGTTACCTTTGTTGTTTATGAGACTGATACATTTGCTATTTATGAGACTGATACATTTGTTATTTATGAGACTGTTACCTTTGCTATTTATGAGACTGTTACCTTTGCTGTTTATGAGACTGATACATTTGTTATTTATGAGACTGTTACCTTTGCTATTTATGAGACTGTTACATTTGTTATTTATGAGACTGTTACATTTGTTATTTATAATAATAATAATAATAATATACAACATTTGATATAGCGCCCTATCTAGCTAACATAAGCCACTCTAAAGCGCTTTACAGTACATAGATATACAATTTCATACAGTCAATACAATTAGCATATATATTAATCAATACAATATTGAGGAATTCGCAGGAGCTGCCTTATCAGGCGCTTACTACTATTCCTATACCACCTGGCTAATATCTCCATATGTGTGTATGCCTGTGTGTGTGCTGGAGATGTATTGTGTTCTGTTTGTAGTGGGACCGTGCTTCCAACGGTATCATTTATAGTGCCACCTCACTTGAATGCTACAGCACAGATACCGCAACACCCACTCATTTATGAGGCTGTTACCTTTGTTATTTATGAGACTGTTACCTTTGTTATTTATGAGACTGTTAGCTTAATTATTTATGAGACTGTTTCCTTTGTTATTTATGAGACTGTTACATTTGTTATTTATGAGACTGTTACCTTAGTTATTTATGAGACTGTTACCTTTGTTATTTATGAGACTGTTACTTTTGTTGTGTGTAAGACTGATACCTTTGTTGGTTATCAGACTGATACCTTTGTTAGTTATCAGACTGATACCTTTGTTATTCATCAGACTGATATCTTGGTTATTTATGAGACTGTATTTACCTTTGTTAGTTATCAGACTGGTACCTTTGTTGGTTATCAGACTGATATCTTTGTTAGTTATCACACTGATATATTTGTTGGTTATCAGACTGATACCTTTGTTGGTTATCAGACTGATATCTTTATTGGTTCTCAGGCTGATATCTGTGTTGGTTATCAGACTGATATCGTTGTTGGTTATCAGACTGAGATCTTTGTTGGTTGTCCGACTGATACCTCTTTTGGTTATCAGACTAATATCTCTGGTGGTTATCAGACTGATATCTTTGTTGGTTATCAGACTTATACCTTTGTTATTCATCAGACTGATATATTTGTTGGTTATCAGACTGATACCTTTGTTGGTTATCAGACTGATACCATTGTTGGTTATCAGACTGATACCTTTGTTGGTTATCAGACTGATACCTTTGTTGGTTATCAGACTGATACCATTGTTGGTTATCAGACTGATACCTTTGTTGGTTATCAGACTGATATCTTTATTGGTTCTCAGGCTGATATCTGTGTTGGTTATCAGACTGATATCGTTGTTGGTTATCAGACTGATATCTTTGTTGGTTATCAGACATATCTTTGTTGATTATCAGACTGATACCTTTGTTGGTTATCAGACTGATATCTTTATTGGTTCTCAGGCTGATATCTGTGTTGGTTATCAGACTGATATCGTTGTTGGTTATCAGACTGAGATCTTTGTTGGTTGTCCGACTGATCCCTCTTTTGGTTATCAGACTAATATCTCTGGTGGTTATCAGACTGATATCTTTGTTGGTTATCAGACTGATCCTTTGTTGATTATCAGACTGATACCTTTGTTGGTTATCAGACTGATACCATTGTTGGTTATCAGACTGTTACCTTTGTTGGTTACCAGACTGTTACATTTGTTGGTTATCAGACTGATATCTTTGTTGATTATCAGACTGATACCTTTGTTGATTATCAGACTGATACCTTTGTTGGTTATCAGACTGATATCTTTGTTGATTATCAGACTGATACCTTTGTTGGTTATCAGACTGTTGCCTTTGTTGGTTATCAGACTGATACCTTTGTTGGTTATCAGACTGATACCTTTGTTGGTTATCAGACTGATACCTTTGTTTGTTATCAGACTGATATCGTTGTTGGTTATCAGACTGATACCTTTGTTGGTTATCAGACTGATACCTTTGTTGGTTGTCAGACTGATATCGTCGTTGGTTATCAGACTTATACCTTTGTTATTCATCAGACTGATATATTTGTTGGTTATCAGACTGATACCTTTGTTGGTTATCAAACTGATACCTTTGTTGGTTATCAGACTGATATCTTTGTTGGTTGTCAGACTGATATCGTTGTTGGTTATCAGACTGATACCTTTGTTATTCATCAGACTGATATCGTTGTTGGTTATCAGACTGATATCGTTGTTGGTTATCAAACTGATACCTTTGTTGGTTATCAGACTGATACCTTTGTTATTCATCAGACTGATATATTTGTTGGTTATCAGACTGATATCTTTGTTGGTTATCAGACTGATATCTTTGTTGGTTATCAGACTGATATCTTTGTTAGTTATCAGACTGATATCTTTGTTAGTTATCAGACTGATATCTTTGTTGGTTATCAGACATATCTTTGTTGGTTATCAGTCTGATACCTTTGTTGGTTATCAGACTGATACATTTGTTGGTTATCAGACTGATCTTTGTTGGTTATCAGACTGATACCTTTGTTGGTTATCAGACTGATATCTTCGTTGGTTATGAGACTGATATCTTTGTTAGTTATCAGACTGATATCTTTGTTGGTTATCAGACATATCTTTGTTGGTTATCAGACTGATACCTTTGTTGGTTATCAGACTGATACCTTTGTTGGTTATCAGACTGATACCTTTGTCGGTTATCAGACTGATACCTTTGTTGGTTATCAGACTGATAT